AAACTATCAAGATTTTACTTACTGAAGGAGGTGAGGATATCACTATAGAAGAAAACCATCTCAGGAAAGGGGAAGGGCTGGTTTTTAGCTCAGAGGAGGAAAAATATTTCAGAATCTGGAAAGAAGAACAAAGGATGTGTCTTAGCCTGGTTTCCTCAGAGAGAAGAACATGAGAAAAACACATATCTGCAAATCTTTTGCTGAAGATTGTGATCCCAAGAAGCAGCAGTGAAGGAGAGTGACACACTGGGAAGTTCTCTTATTGAGTTGCTTGACCCCACAAGGCACCTGAGAGGCCATTGGACACACATCTCAGGACTGTCCGTGTGGTGTGAGAAAACAGGCAGAATGTGTCTGCACCCTCCGCTGGTCAAAGAATACTCCATGAGGCATTAACTCCCCAGCACTTTCAGGTTGTGTTTATGAGGATGCCAAGGGTTGTCTGCCTTGTTCCAAGCCAAAATGACAACAGAGAAGCTTTAGCATAGAGGGCAAGAGGTGCTTGCAGGTTGCCTTCAGGCGCAGCTGGTGGGACCCATGGCAGAACTATTTACCACAGTGGTGACTGGAGTAGAAAACAAGTATGGCTGAAAGAAGGTGGAGTGGTGCATAACAGGTGCCTGCTCCAAGATTTTTTTTAAATTTTTTTTATTATTTATTTATGATAGTCACACACACACACAGAGAGAGAGAGAGAGAGAAAGAGAGAGAGAGACAGGCAGAGGGAGAAGCAGGCTCCATGTACCGGGAGCCTGACGTGGGATTCGATCCCGGGTCTCCAGGATCGGGCCCTGGGCCAAAGGCAGGCGCTAAACTGCTGTGCCACCCAGGGATCTCTGCTCCAAGATTTTTGCAGTTTAAGAAGACATGTGTTTCTATGAACAGAGTGATTTAAAAGTGGAGACCAGGTTCCTGGCTCCTCCCAAGAAAATAAGATGCAAGGACCTCTTCCAAGCATGAGGGCACTGTGGTAGGAATGAATATTCAGTATAAGTAGAGGAGAGTCATCAAAGCCACTGAGCAAGAGCAGACTGGAAGGATGGTCAGATAGTGCAGGGGTCCATTGAAAGCCAAGCATTAATGAACTTATGGATCTTTGCATTTTCTCCACAAGAGGAGCTGAGAAGGCAGTTGTGGGGGCAATCCAGGTCTGGCCTGGTATGGTGTGTACAGCAAGGGCTGGGTGGGGAGTCATCAGAGTGGTGGGGAAAGCAGCATGGAAGCAGGTGATCACAGAGTCAAGAGTGGGTGAAACAGATGAAGTGAAGCCCAGGCACTGCCCTCATAGACATTTCCATGAGGGTAAAGCAGAACAGGAGTGGGGGGGGGGAGAGAAAGAACAAAAAGGAAACAGTGACAACTTGAAGGTGGAACAGAGCCACATGCTGATGACAAGGTCTAGAGCACAATCAGTGCTAACAGATGAGGACACAAGCCTCAGTATCCTGCAGCAAACGGAGTAATAGGGATGTTCTGAATGACATATAAGAACCTGGGATGGAAAAAGAAAACCTGAGATGCATCCTGAAGTTGCCCAGGATGGTGTAAATCCTAATAGAAGATACTGGTAATGATCTGGAGGTGGTTATGGAGTGGTAAGAAAAACTTTGGATGATAACACGTGGAGAAAGGCTGTTGGACGGAGTGGAGTTTGAGGCTTTGCTTTAAAAGAGTTTAGGGAATGAACATGTTAATTAACAATCAAAGCAGATACTAAAGTTTGAAAACAAAGCAAGATTTGCCTCAACGCAGACTTATAGCTGGCATTATTTCTGCAGGATAAGTTGGAGAGGTGTGTAGAATTTCACTCTTAATAAGTGCACTGAGTGTTATTTGTGCTATTGGGAGCCTGTATTGCTCTTGTGGGAAAGAGAGAGAGAGAGAGAAGAAAAGAAAAAGAAAGAAAAGTAAAGAAGGAAAGGAAGGAAGGAAGGAAGGAAGGAAGGAAGGAAGGAAGGAAGGAAGGAAGGAAAGAAGGAAAGAAGGAAAGAAGGAAAGAAAGAAAATTAGTCAAGGGCAAAACTAGAATTCAAGTCCGCAGTGAACAAACACTTGTCCACTACCTTTGACTCCTCAGCTGAACAAAGCAGGCAGCCTAAGGTGGGGTTTTGTTAGTTTTCCCAAACTCATTTTTGCTAAATCCCCTTAAACAGTGTGACCTAGGTCACACCAACACTAAATGTTTTATAAGTGAAGGTTTTAGAAAGATAGAGATATAAACCCTGTTGTAAATGTTTTACATGCTACACACACAGATCCAGTCATATTCATCAGCAGCTGTTTGCTTGACCTTCAGGTTTCCAGGGAGGAACCCATCTCCTCACGCTCTGTGTCTTTGTCCCAGTGTCCCCCGGTCAGCAAGAGGTCCTGGGAGGCATCGATGTCCTAACAAAGAGTAATACTGACCACAGTCACCATTGTCCATGGCTCCTTTTGTGCACAGCTCATGCTTAATGCTTCATGTAGTTTCTCTTAGTTATAAAATACCTGTGAGCATGTGATGGTATCTTTCTCCTACAGACGGAACAGTCCAGAGTGGCTGTGGGGATTCAGCAATGTCCTCGAGGCGCCAAGCTGCTCCACTGTCCTGCTCTGCCCTCCTCAGTGACAGGATCTGCTCCTGCAATCTCTGTCTGTGTTCACCCAGGAAGAAGCAGCAGAGGAGGCAGTTACCAGCAAACAGCCACTCATCTGGTATTGGCCAGAACTTGTCCCTGGTGTGTCATTCAGGGTTCAGGTTGGTTACAGACAACGGAGTCCACTCTAGTTGGTTTAAAAAACAAGGAATTTCTTAAGACATACAGATAGTTCTTGAGTCATGGGGAGGGCTGAACAGGCCCCAGGTGGAACTCAGAAAGTCCCCAGGGAATTAAGCTGTGGAGGGAGCTGCTGCCTCTTCCATAATTAGGAAGTTGAAGTAAGAGGCCACCTTCTACAGCAGGAAGCCAGGACCACAGACATCAACTCCAAGTCATGACACACATCTGCCATGACCAGGAAGCAAGCCTATCAGAAAGCACTAGCTCCTGCATTGGCCAATTCTGCTGAGGCCGATGCCAGCAAGAGACATGCTGAACTCTCTTCTTATTCCCCACTGAACTCAATTCCTAAACAAAGTCCCATGGTCCTCTCTCCATGTGACTTAGTTCCAGATCAAGGAGAAGTGATCAATAAAACTTAAATCCTATCTGGAGCTGCAGCAGCAACAGTAGTTGAAGACTGCAATTTACATATTTTGCAGATGCAGGCAAGAGAGAAAGGCACTGGGACAGAGGTTCAGTGTGTCATACTCCTGTATTAGCCACAATTATTCTGGAAAGTTGGGACAGCTGGGCTATGCTTGGTCAGCTTTCCTTTCCTCTACTCTCAGGATTCCTGACAACATATATCATCTTATCGAATCCCCACCTCAACCTTTCAATGAAGTATTGCTATCCCTTTTGTAAATTAGGAAACTGAGGCTCATGAATTTTAAACAATAACATTCCAGAAAGTAGTGGAATCATGATTTGAGCCAAAGTCCATGTCTGTCTGTTCTCACATGGTAGAATTTATGTTTGCTTTGCTAAAACTAAATGCTGAGGATAGTGGATTCACTCTTCTCAATCCCCTTCCTCCAGACTATGATTCACTGGCCTTCAAAGAGCTGAATAGGCTTGGTACTCTCCCATCTTCAAACCTTTGCTCTAGCAACATTCTTAATTGCTTTAGTAGCTTGGTCCCATGGATCATCTAAGATGCCAGATGACCTGGGTGTCAGGACTATATGGGATAAGAGAGGAAGAAACCTTCATCCATCAGCTCATATCCTCCATTGGCCAAAGACTCACTCTATGAGGCATTATTGTCCTTTTTCTTTATATCCAATTACTCAAATCCTAGCCATCCTTGAAGGCCCAGATCAAATGCTACCCCTCCTCTACAAAGACATCTTCAATCTCCCTGCCAACAAGCAGCTCCATCTTCCCTGTAACTCCCATGTATTTTCTTTGTACTTCCCTTCAAACATTTCTCATATCAATTTATATAACTACCCCTTCCATATTATAGCTTCCTTGAAGACAAGAACTATGACATTTCTTTTCTTTTTTTTTTTTTTAAGGTTTTACTTATTTATTCATGAGAGACAGAGAAAGAGGCAGTGACATAGGCAGAGGGAGAAGCAGGCTCCGTGGTAGGACCCCAATACAGGACTCATGCCCTGAGCTGAAGGCAGACACTCAACCACTGAGCCACCCAGGCAGTCCCAATGACATTTCTTTCCATTGTACCTTAAAGCTCTTGGCACAGCACGTGTATATGGTAAGGGTGTACTAGATAAATAATACAAAAAAAAAAAAAAGAATGAATTTCCTTAAAGAAGCTCTCTCTTCTTTAAAATACTAGATAATCAATCTCTGGGTAATTACAAATCAACTGCTTTAGTTTCCCTCGTGTTTTTCATTAGTGAGACATTCCTCCATCACCACCATCCATCTGATTTCTCCAGTATTTACTGACCCCCTCATCAGTAACATATACAGAATATTTTTTACATATTTCCTTGCTTTGTGGCTCTTAAAAAGTGAATGAAAAAAAAAAGAGGGAGAGAACAGGACATCTTTGGAGTTGAAATGAGTTCATTTTCTCTTTGACACAACCACAAGAGGACAGTTTTTACCCTAGTTCAGGCATTTGCATACATAACAATCCATCAGGCCAAAAAGAGTAGAACAAAGCATGAAAGTAAAAGCATATAGGAATTTCCATGCTCTACACTTAGCCCATTCGATTCCCGCTACAGTAGAATTTCTTTCATTACTGTTGGCCTTTTGGGGTCAGCACACAGCACCACTTTCCCTATTTTCTTCTGGAAACTTTCCACTGTAGAACTCCAAGACAGTCACCAGCACTCACCAAAGCAGGTTCCCTCCTGCTGTGTGGGTAATGAAGCTGGTGGGCCGGCAGCTTCCTCCTGGTTGCCAGGGGAACGACCAGGGCCATTGGCCCTCTGAAAACGGAAAAGAACAGCAAGTGCAAGACCACGCATTCCATCCTGCCTTGCAGATTAAACCAGCTGTCAAGCCAGAGTGAAGAATCAGGCAGAGGTCTGCTGACTGGAAAAGCAACCCTCACGGTGGAACTCTGAGATGTAAGTACTTCCTCTGTTCTTTTTTGAAAAGCATGTCTAGCATGACCGGTAGTTTTTCATAGCTTCAGAATTTTTGCTCCCTGGCAGGCAAGTTCTGTGACCCTGTGAGGAGCCACTTTGGGCTACCCCTTTTTCTCACAGAATTTACATTTCCTGAACATAATGTACGCTTACGGGTGGCTTTCACCACGAAACAATTTTTTTTTAGGCTTCCAGGCACATGCATTGCTCTTTACTGAGATTTTGCCTTTAAAAGGAAATGTTTTAGTGCCTTCAGCAAAGAGTGAAATGGTCTTCTCATTTAGTCTCTAAGCAGATAAACTCACTTAGGCTAATATTATATAAGAGACATCTTCATGGAACCTGGGCTTCTTGTTTCTATTTAAAATATTTGGCTCTATTTCCCTGTCCATCTTCAATGTGAAATCATAATTACATACGAGATGACCTCTTTCCTTATTGTGATGCCAAACAGAGAAAACTGGGAACTCTCAAAACATCAGTTTATATTGTTCCTTTGCTCTGTTTTTATCTAACAGTATTACATTTATTGCTTTTTTACACACTGCTCACTGGAAAACATAGAAAGATAAGAAGAAAGTATGCTTAGATGAGCATTAGCCATGGATTGGTTAACTTTTTAAAAAATGTGTCCTTTTATTTAAAAGTGAAAAATTTTGATAAATACTGTAGTTGAAGGCAAGAGGATAGGGATTTTTTTTTTAGTTCAAACCTATAGCCCTACACAGTCTGCATAAATTTTATTGTTAATAAGCATGTTTCTGGACATTTTTTTTAGCAGTAAGTATGTTGGTGTGAACTGAGAAGAGGAAATGTTTCAGAAAAGTTGTGCATAATATCCTATAAAAACCTGTCTTCAAAAACTACCAAAAATATCCAGCCTCATTTGTTTGAAAAATTTGTTAATGAAAACAGTGATCTTTGGGAAGTTTTTAACTTTTATTTTTGGACCAAGTAATGCAATATGTTTGAAGGAATAAAAAATATTCTCACTAATTTTTTTTATAGAAATTGGGCATTTTCTGAAAATAATAGGTTCAATAAAGTGTTTATGGAAATGAGTGCTTTTCCACAGCTGACTTGGATTTCCCAATTTTCTTTTCCATACCAATATTTGTGTTGGTTAAAGCTGGTATACAATCAACTTTTAAAATCCAGTGTTCAGCAGACCACATCTCTGTATCAGTGTCAGAAGAACAAACAAGTCACATGGCTCCAAGGGTATATGATTAAGGGCACAGACATGGGAGTGTATGGCATGCTAGGGGTCTGAACCTCAATGATCTGATTAGCTGAGCATAGATCAAGTCATTCAAGAGAAAGGCTTCAAGGGTTTGCAATCACTGGTTAACTAATTCTCACAAGGCCCTGTGTCAAGGACAGAAATGCAGTAGCTACACATTTTAGTGAAGTCTTCCCATTTGCTCAGTCTCTGAGATAGTTTGTGTCCCACATGCAGAGTTAGCACTCAACTGATGCCCTTATTTTTAAATCTAATTTCTAAATGTTCTTTTTTAAAAAAGTGTTTCTGAAATGTTTGTGTCTTTGTTTCCTATTCCTCTAGCATGAGGTTCCTAAATACCCTTTATGTTAAAGGGCACAGAGTCTAGTGATAGAATATGAGGCTTTTGAGTAGGAGCGTGACCCTGGCATGGAAAGTAACCCTGTGATGTCCACCACGACTCCCTAGAGCATATTTGGCTGCCTGGGTTCAAATCTTAGCTGTTTCTTACCAGCACTGTGACCTTGGGCAAGCCATTTAACCTCTGTGTGTCTCCATATTATGATATAAAAATGGGGCCACAATATCTACCTTTATTATGATTGCAAGGATTAAATGATATAAAACATGTAAAAGTTCTTTGAAGAATACCCAGCACAAGAGAAGCAATCTTTAAATATTATTATAAATCAATAAAACATATGTATAGTTCCTAATTTCAGTCAACTTTCAACACAATGTATTTTCCACGTTTCTTATTTGGAAGTACATCATCGGTTATTAATGTTTCCTATAGTTAGCTGGTTTAGTTGTGTGAACACAAGGCTGAGGGGCAGTAAATGTCGATGTGGTAAAATGTTGATACAATAACATGTCTTCTCTAACAAGCAGTCTGAACTCTCATGGGAATCAAAAGTTGTGTTAAGTTGAGGTGTCTTGAATATTCTATCAGGTTGAGCTAGCAAGTAAGATGCTGGATATATGAGCATGAAGCTCAGGAACAGTTTGGGAGATGGTTCATCATCAGCATATAGACAATATTGAAGTCCATAGATTAGCATGCAATCAGTAAAGGAGTGGATATACACAGAGAAGGGAGCCAGGCACTGAACCAGAGGCAGCCAACAATGACAAGGAAGAAGGGGGATGCCAGAGAGACTGAGCAGGAGCGACCACTGAGGTAGCAGGAAAAACTGGAGAATATGGTGTCAAGGAAGAACAGAAAGTTCTTTGCTCAAAGAGAGAGTAATAGTGGTAAGAGGGCAAGCAAAATTAGATCAGGAAATTAACCACTGGATGTGGACATGTTGGAGGGTGGGAGCCATCTGAAAGCTGAGGACGATGGTTTTAATGAGGTGATACTAACAGAAGCCTGACTGGAGTGGCTTAAAAATCTAACACAAACAACATATGGGCTCTCTCTGTACAATTACAGATTTACTTATAGGAGCTTGTTTTTAATATCTTTTATGGTAGACTGGTGTAGCCCTATAGGAGCCCAGGTTTGAGGCAGGCAAGAATAGCCATTCATGTCCCTAGCTACTATAGTTTCATGCAACAGGTAGGATTTAAAGATGCTTTGAGACGAGGCTGGTTTTTTAGCAGTTGGGAAATAGAAAACACTCCCAGACACAGGGAAAAACATAAGCCACATGAAGGAAGTCTCTCTCTCTCTCTCTCTCTCTCTCTCTCTCTCTCTCACACACACACACACACACACACACACACACACACAAGCCCTTTCAGGACTTCCTCCCACAATATTTCCTGATGCCTCTCCCTTCCAGTTAAAAGGATCATTTCCCATTTATTTGCGTCTCTGAATTGCCTGGCCTCCAAGGTCATTAAGAAAGCCAGAATCTTCTTGTTGCCAAAAGGGCTAAAGAATTCATTTGGAGTCACGCCTAGACATCATATCATGGGTACTCAGTTTGGCCCAAATTGTGATGCCCAGATGATCCACTGGAGCTCTGCTGTTGTCACAAAAGTAATCTTCAAGAAGTCAATGAAATAAGGAGGCATTCTTTTAAAAAAATTATTTTAGGATAGTTTTAGTCTTAGAAAAATTGTGCAGATAGCATAGAGACTATCATGTGCCCCCCACATCCCGTCTCCCCTATTGCTACATCTCACCTCATTATGCTATATACACTTGTCACAATTAATGAACTAATATCAGTACATTACTATTATTAACCAATGTCCACATTTTTTTTTCAGATTTCCTTAGAATGCCCTATTTCTCTTCCAGGATCCCACATTACCCTTAGCCATCATTCCCAGGAGGCATTTAAAGACCCTTACAAATCTTTTAAGAAAGCAGCAATGTTTGGGGCACCTGGCTAGTTCTGTTGATTGAATGGCTGACTCTTGGTTTCTGCTCAGGTTGTGATCTCAGGATTGTGGGATCGACCCCTGTGTCAGACTCTGGGCTTGGTGCAGAGTCTGCTTGGGATTCTCTCTTTCTCTTTCTCTTTCTCTCTCCCTCTGTGCCTCCCCCTGCTCACATGCACACTCTCTTTCTCTCTCTAAAGTAAATAAATCTTTTTTTAAAAAAGAAAGCAGCAGGGTTTAAATTGCTTTTGGTTCCAATATTTCTAACTGAAACCACTAAAGGAAATTTAATTCTTACTTTTCTAAAATCAAATTGTTGGAATAGTTGAATACAGATGAAAGGGAAAAGCTTAAGGCTTACATTGTGAGGAAATAGTTCAAGGCATTTTATGGGACTGTAATAATGTATAACACTAAGTGGAAGAGCTTACTCCTTTTTTATTGTTTTGGAAGCAGGTAATTAAAATATTAAAGGTTTGCAAGCTTCTTCCCCCCCCCCCCAATCTCTTAGCAAAGGGATTGCTCTGACTCATTCTCCTTGGCAACCTCACACTCATATAATAGAGGCCCAGTAATTTCAGCAAAGCTGTTACAGGATAGTTTTAAAAACTGGGTGCTTAAATGTTGGGTTGTGGGGAAGTTTGCAGTAGGGGTTATTATAACTCCTCAACCGGGAGCAATTAGGGCAATGGCTTCTAATGCTCATGGCTATCTGTGAAATAAATGCTTACAAACTCTGCTCACTCTTCCCATAAGGCCTGGATGGGTGTGTGCAGTGAGGTAGAAGGACAGGGATCTGGGGCCTTGACTTGGGGCTCATAGTCCCCATTCCAGGCGAATGTGTTTCGCCCTGTGTCTCCATCAGACTTACAGGAAAGTTCCAAGGCAACTACAAACCTAGATGGCACTCATTGGTAAAGCCACAGAGGTTGGGGATGTTTTATAGGATTTTTGCCAGGTGTCACTCAATGGCTTTAGCAGGGACTCATAGACAAGGCTTAGGATATCAAGTTCATATTTCCCATCCTCTCACCCATTCACAAAGTCTCAATATGCTTGCTTTGTCACGGCTAGGCTAAACACCAAAATTCCTTCTAAAAAAGATGAATTTTGTTTGCTGATTTGATAATGTGATGCACTCCACAATTCTAGGAGGTGAAAGGTAAAAGAAGAAGCAAAGGATCAATGAATGCATCTTTGGCTTAGCTAATGTAGGGATCCACTTGGGTAATATAAATATTTATGGAATGCCTCTATATATCTGTGCTAAGGACTGGGGGAAAAACCATAAACAAAAAGACTAGAGTTTTGTCACATCAGAAACCTGACCTACACAGCATACCAACAGCAAGGGGTCCAGCATCCAATTTAGCAAATTAGCAGGTGAAATGAGTACCCGGCTGAGCTCAATGCTTTCAAAACA